CTGATCTACAGCTTGAAATCCACGACCAGTGGCCTCAGAAACAGAGTCCCTGCCAGCCTAAACATGAACAACTTACATAAAGATATGCTATAGGATCAGCAGAAGCAAACTATGTACCAAAATTCTTAAAGAAAATTCTCCAGCATTATGAATTCAAAACATGGTCGTTCCAAACAAATATCTTACCACGACATCCTGCATCGTCAAAAACCGTTTCTCTTCAATATCATGCCCATTGTGATTTCTAAGGCAGCACATTGAACATAGTTGCCGCTGAAAGTTTATTGATACAAATATAAAAACCCTTAATCAAGTTAATGAATATCAAACAAATTCCAAGGTAACTGCATGAGGGACTTACTGCAGCTTCGTTCTCAGCAATGCATGCACGGCAAGTCAGATATACTCCTTTAGCCATGACTTCATCGCAAACCAAGCACTTGGGTAGGCGACTTTTGTCGACATCATTCTTAGTTACACTGCTCACTTCAGGTGCTTCAGCAACATGTGCTACCAACTCTAAGAAACAATGCACTTTATTGAACAACTTATTTCAGGTCAATACAGAAAAAACTTAAGATAGTTTATTTTTACGCTCAAATGTTGCAAGAAATGTCAACCACTACAATAAGAGTCATTCATCTGTTGTGTGGTTGCTCTTGTAGCTGTAGTACTAGTCTTTTCATACAATGCGGATACCGAATGACGAAGATGAACACAAAGTGTGCGAGATAAATTGAAAAGTGTCGTTGAAAATCTCTAGAAAGTTTTAAGAAATCTAAAAGGTTTTTCGTTGACTGAAAGCAACTGATTTTACTATTCCCCCAGAAAAATAAATACTTTTGTGTAAATATGGCATGAATACTAGAAGAAACTCTGGAAAATTGAAGCAAAAAAAATTTCCTGATCTTCAATCGACACTCAAACCTTCCAAAGGATTATGGCAAAGGACATAGCTATTGAAAAATGAAAAATGAGATACCTTGCAAGCGATAATTAACGGGTAAGCCTTCGGGAGGAACTTTGGTGATTTGACGACATTCCGGACATTTGATGACGACTTCGGTATTTGCTGCGGGCGGGTGGTTTGGAAATGGCATTTCACCAAAATCCTAAGTAAATTTGGGAAGTTGAATGTCGAACAGAATACTGATCACATTTAAGCAATGTTCGGAGGCTCTCGGATGCATATGTTCAGATGGTTACACTATAACTACGGATAAAAAGTTCCTCATCAATGAGCTTCTCTTTCTCATATTCAAGTAAGCATCGATCCCCACTACAAAGGGGACATAATGATGCTGGCGATGCTTATGGTAGACCAACCTCATTGTTCCGGTAATTACGAAGTACTGGGCGAGGTACTCCTCCCAAACCCGGATACATTAACGGCGGCGATGGTGGTCTAGGAGGAGGAGGGTTCGGCCACACTTCATCATTGAAGCGATTGCGCAACTGAAGATGTGGGTGCGGCGCCTGAATTAGATAAGTTCCAATATGATGTTAATGAGAGATTATACAATTTAACGCTTACTTGTAAAAAATTGAGAGCGGGATATCCGAATCTTCTAATTCCTTCAAGGAAATTGTCATTGCGGTTATCACGCGCTTCTGTTATCTGAACAAAAGAATGTTAAACAACAGCAAAATTAGCTAAGCCAACTTTGGTTTAGAAAACAGAAATATGAAAAGAATAATCATAACCTCTCAATTCTCGAACGCTGACATTTTGCTACACGCGCTTTGTTCAGAAGTCGAGATGACGATTCATTCATCTAACCCCTTCAATATTTCGAGTTTGTCTCGAACGACCAATTGATGGCACAGATTGCAGTCAATTTATGCACTCATGTTCAATTCTTTAACTACGCTGCATGATGGAAACTGCAACATAGTACAAAAAGTTCGCGCACGCAACGATGTCAACTGTACATACGTACATGTGAGAGTGCCTTGGCTTCAAAGCGCCAGCT